ATATATATATATATATATATATATCAGCCTCTTGTGGCTTTTATTTGAGCACAGCATATTCACTACAACCACTGTGATATCAATAATGACTTGTGACCCAGTCATCCTAGTAACTTTATATTATACTAGGTATATTGCATTTGTATCAGTGTATTTTTTATTCATATTGTGTTGTAATATAGATTTTAAAAAATTTCTTCTTGTGTTTGTGGCATAGAGTTCTCTGGTTGGTGGATTTGCTCATGTCAAAGCATGTCTCACACCTTCTGCTCCTGTACTTCATGTCAACCTCAGCCAGACTTGTGCTACAGGTTAGTCGCATTAAAATTTGTGCAATGCATGTTTACTATTCTCCTGATTTGAAGCTTTGAAGCTCTCTGCGTATGTGTGCATGCAGGGCTTATGCAGGGCTATTCTCTGAGCGTGAGCAGCAATGACACTGTTGAGCTGTTGAGGATTCCGTTTCCAGATGCAGCAGTGTGGTACCTCAGCCTCCAGATCATGTGCAATGATAGGTTAGTTGTGCAAATTCAGTGCGGAACTAGCACACACAATAAGATAGACCTGTCCTATACATTTATATTGTATGACTACAGACATTCCTAAAGCACCTTCTGAGCATTATTTATGGTCCTGTGTTGTCCTTCCAGTGTCAACTGCAGGAACACATCCGCGATAGTGAGTGCGTCTGTGAGTGTGAGTGCGTGCATTGATGACTGTGGACCATATGGAGAATGCAGACTGCTACGCACGCACAGCTACCTCTATGGCGCATGTGTGTGCAAAGCAGGTAAACAAACACACATGCAAACAACTGGCCATAAATCATAAATAATTAAAGCTACTGAGTTTGTTACTGTTTGCTGTTGACAGGTTGGCAGGGATGGGGCTGTACGGATGGAGCAACTGCGCAGTCGTACTCCCGGCAGATGGCTGCGGCTCTGCTCCTCACCCTCAGTAACTTTTTCTTCATCCCACCCATCATCGTAGGACTTTACAGAGGCTACCACGTCGAGGCAGCCATCTACTTATTTACCATGTTTTTCTCCACGGTGTGTTCTTATGTTATAATTCTATCTATCTATCTATCTATCTATCTGCTCAAGCTATATAGATATCTATCTATCTGTCTGTCTGTCTGTCTATCTATCTGCTCATGCTATATAGATATCTGTCTGTCTGTCTGCTCACGTTATCTATCTATCTATGTCTGTCTGTCTGTCTATCTATCTATCTATCTGTGTCTGTCTGTCTATCTGCTCACGCTGACTATCTATCTATCTATCTATCTGCTCCTGCTATATAGATATCTGTCTGTCTGTCTACTCACACTATCTATCAATCTATCAATCTATCTATCTATCTCTCTGTCTGTCTGTCTGTCTGTCTGTCTGTCGGTCTGTCTGTCTGTCTGTCTATCTATCTATCTATCTGTGTCTATCTGTCTATCTGCTCACACTATCTGTCTATCTGTCTATCTATCTATCTATCTGTCTGTCTGTCTATCTGTCTGTCTGTCTGTCTGTCTATAATACACATTGCATATTTTGTTGTCATAATGATTGGGTCTTTTGCAGTTTTATCATGCGTGTGACCAGCCCGGTGTGACTGTGATGTGCATCATGGACTACGACACTCTCCAGTTCTGTGATTTCTTGGGTTCTGTTGTGTCAGTGTGGGTGACCATTGTGTGCATGGCACGGCTCCAGGATCCAGTAAAATACGTAAGTACTATATTATGTATATTTTTATTTTAATCAATAATGGCCATTATTGTTGTTAATAATGTGCATCTCCCATGCAGTAATGGTAGGTGTGTTGGAGCCTTGTCATTGGTGGAAGGGGTTACACAGCATCTCTAATAACTAAAGATTGATTGTTATTGGTTTTATGACTATTTTTGTTCAAATGTGAAAATTTTAATTACAACCTACCAGCAGACAGCTGTAGGGTGGAACTGAAACTGCTGTATTTTGCCATTTAATGGTACCCTTGTGCTGCCATGTACATTCATGAAAGTGTCAAATGTCTTTATCACCTTGTAAACTGCAATGGAACTATTGTGGAGTGGGCCTTAAATAGCATGGCATGTTTAACTAGACCTACCTGTTCTTTAAAGGAAATGTTGTGATAATGCATACCAAGTATTGTTACTTTGAAACAATACAAACCACAAGCCAGTAAAACATTTTTATTTACAGGTATTATGTATAACTTTATAGTCATGTTATTATGTCTATAAATTAGAACAATGAGTTGTTAACTGATCAATAAACATAACATTATATATTAATATATAATAGTTTCCGCCCCCTTTTAGTCAAGGATTCTTGAATTGTACGTTTGCCTTGTCTATTTTCATTTTCTCTTCAGATTGAAATATTAGACTTCAGTAAACGCATATACATGTATATGCTAAACACTTTAATGAGTAATTATTTACTTAAGTTTTGTGTTGCATGTCAGTTTTAATAGCTTATATTGTTCTTACATTGCAGCTATTGTTTATGGCGGGCACTCTCATAATTTCTATGGCGATGCAGTTGGACCGCAGGGGGCTATGGAATCTTTTAGGTCCTGTCCTGTTTGCTTTGGTCATTATGGTCACTTCCTGGGTGAGTTAGACTTTTCCATTACTCCAAAACATTGTATTCTTAGACTGTTTTTTTTTTTATATTGTGACTGACTAATGATAGGAATTCAATTTTTTTAATTAATACACTACTTTTCAGTAAGAGGTCAGTAAGATTTTTGTAATGAAATTAATTTGTTTATTCAGCAGATATGCATTACGTTGATCAAAAGTATCAGTAAAGATGCTTATTATACATATTATATATACATATATTAGGGCTGTCAGTTTAACGCGTTAACTTAATTAATTAGTCATGAAAAAATAAAGCGATTAAAATATTTTGCCCCTAATAATAATCAATAATTAATTAATTAATAAATGCCCCTGTATGTGTTTCACCCAAAAATGAAAATTACCCCATGATTTACTTAATAAATCTCAAGCCATCCTAGATGAATATGACTTTCTTCTTTCAGACGAATACAATCGGAGTTATATTAAAAAACATCCTGGCTCTTCCAAGCTTTATAATGGGAGTGGATGGTAGCCCAAAATTTGAAGTCAAAAAATTGAACCAATCCATTATAAAAGAAGTCCACACGGCTGCGGGGGGTTAATAAAGGCCTCCCAAAGCGAAGCGATGCGTTTGGGAAAGATTAATAAATGCCCCTGTATGTGTTTCACCCAAAAATGAAAATTACCCCATGATTTACTTAATAAATCTCAAGCCATCCTAGATGAATATGACTTTCTTCTTTCAGACGAATACAATCGGAGTTATATTAAAAAACATCCTGGCTCTTCCAAGCTTTATAATGGGAGTGGATGGTAGCCCAAAATTTGAAGTCAAAAAATTGAACCAATCCATTATAAAAGAAGTCCACACGGCTGCGGGGGGTTAATAAAGGCCTCCCAAAGCGAAGCGATGCGTTTGTGTAAGAAAAATATCCATATTTACAACTTTATAAACCTTAATCTATAACTTCCGCTAACTGTCGTACGCACATTCACGAGAGACGTAGGCGTAAACTCCGGTGAGAATATGCGAGTCTCACGAGAAACAAGTTTTGTTTACAGCAAAGGAAAACCAGTGTCCTCTTGGCTCATATTGAAATCCTCCGACATTTTTCTTTACAAATCCTCATTTTGTACTACTAATTCGTGACCGTTGTTTTGTTTTGCTCTCTCCTCTGCTCTTCCATGTTCGTCACTTCCGCGTTTGTCACCGCGTCTGCCTACGTGCTACGTCATCCGCTGGACGCCACTCTCTTGTGAATGTGCGTATGACAGTTTAGCGGAAGTTAGAGATTAAGGTTTATAAAGTTGTAAATATGGATATTTTTATATCCATATTAGTTTTTTACACAAATGCATCGCGTCGCTTCAGAAGGCCTTTGTTAACCCCCCGGAGCCGTGTGGACTTCTTTTATAATGGATTGGTTCCATTTTCTGGACTTCAAATTTTGGGCTACCATCCACTTCCATTATAAAGCTTGGAAGAACCAGGATGTTTTTTAATATAACACCGATTGTATTCATCTGAAAGAAGAATGTCATATACACCTAGGATGGCTTGAGGCTGAGTAAATCATGGGGTCATTTTCATTTTTGGGTGAACTATCCCTTTAAATGTGATTTTATACAACAGTTCAGTAGATATGAAGTTGATATTGTGTTATATTTTCAACACAACATTATGTGTTTTTGTTCAATTTTGCAGAGAACATACTACCTTTGAAGCCACAGCAGAACTGATGCGCGTCTCCGTGCAAAAAAACAGCGGTTTAGTTTCTGAATGAATCCACGTTTTGAACTAATCGTGTGAATCAATGATTCAAAGGCCCATTCATAAAGAGAGCCGTTTATTCATTCCTGAATGAATCAGCCATTTGAACTTATCAAATTAATGAATGAATGACTCGTAAAGACATTTACTGCCGCCACCTGCTGGCAGATTTAGTTTCTTATTTAGAGTATCATTTCATAAAAAAATTAATAATAATAAAAACATTAAAGGGATAGTTCACCCATAAAATGTTTAATTCTGTCATCATTTACTCACTCTCATTTCGTTTCAAACCTTTCTTTTGTGGAACATAAAAGAAGGTATTTTGAAGATGGTTGGTATAAAGCTGTTTTGGTTACCAATGACTTTCCCTGTATAAACAAAAAATACTGAGATGTTTCTCAAATTATCTTCTTTTATGTTCCATAGTTTACGTTGCAGCCGTTGCAGTCTAAATGTTTATGTGTATTAAATTTTATGTTGAATCAAATAAAATATTTCTTTCTAAAGCTACAATTTGTAATGTCTACTTGATACTTTCTCATTTAACACACAAAAAAAGCTTTAAATAATCTAAATGTGGGTATTTTCAGTCAAATTTATTTTACGATTAATTAATCGAAACGTAATTAATTAGATAAAAAAATTTAATCGACTGACAGTCGATTATATATATACAGATACAGGGTTTCTGTTGTTTGATGTAATTAAATTCAGATTTAAATGTTACTTTTCTAAATAAATAAATACTCACACTTATGTTTTCCAGTTTAAATAAAAAATGGTCTGCGCTTTGAGTTTAAGGTTTTTTGGGTTTTTTTGTCTTACACAGGGCAAATTATATCCTACCGGATTTAACTTTAAAATAAACTTGACAATACATTTCCCATGTAATGATGAGCAATATGTCCTGTCCTGTTCACTTGTGTTACCTGACAGGTTTATCGAGGAGTGAAACGGCATCAGTGCTACCCTCCGCTGTGGCGCCGCTGGGTGTTGTTCCTGCTTCCAGGCATCGTATCTGCATTGATTGGTGTGTGCGTGTACGTCTTCGCTCAGACCGACAGCAACTACTACTACACTCATTCCATATGGCATGTCATGGTGGCCACGAGCGTGGTCTTCCTCTTACCACCCCGCGAAAAACACGTTCCCCCCTGGGGCTGGACCAACAAAATTTGTAGCTACAGGAGATGTAAAAATGAGAAAGTAGAGCTTTACACTGTCACCTAAATACACTGCTATTGATATTTGCACAAACTGTGCATTTTAACACTTTTACAAACATTAGTGGTTAGCTTTAAGAAACATGTCAAGCTTTATCTGAAAGATTCTCCTCTGTACACACACTAATAACTACTTAAAGGAATAGTTTACCCTAAAAATTTAATTTTTACTGTCCTTCTAAACCCATAAACCAAATCAATGGAACACAACAGGAGATTCTTGACAATTCATAATCAAGTGAAGATTATCAGTGAATAACAAACTTGTTTTGCTTCCCACACAAAGCTATATTATATGACTTCAGAAGGCTTGGAATATAGTGCATTAGTCATGTAGACTACATTTATGGTGCTTTTTGATGAATACAAACTTCTCCTTTTGTGTTTCATGGGGAAAAAAGAACCGCTTACAGGTTTGAATGACATGAGGGTGAGTAAATAATGCCATAATTTTCATTTTTGAATGAACTATTCCTTTAAACAGGATACTTTTACACTTTTTAACTTTTCAAATGAGTGATTTCACAGAGAACAACAGCAATGTCAATCATTTAAGAATGAAAACGAACAAAAGGCAACTTAGTGAATGTCATTTGACCCAGTTTAATTTATCAGAGAATCAATTTATCAGTTTATTACACTGCATTTGTCATGTTCTTTGTGGACAAATGTCTTTTTTTGTATTTTCAATCACATAATTGCAGCCTGAGAGAGCATAAGAGACTTCTTTCAAAAACATTTCAAATCAAAAACCCTACACTTTTGAACGGTATTGTAAACATGAGTGGCTGTTATGTAAAAAGTCAAATATTATAATTCCAAACATTAGCTGTAAACACAGTTGTTAGCATTGTTGGGTGTTATTCTATATAGCCCAACCAGATGGCGCCATTTATTAGTAAACCAAATATTGAACTGATTAAAGCAGCACTATGTAATGTAACTTTTGGCGCTCTAGCGGTTAATAAACAGAACTGCACACATCCCGCGGATGAACATTCCAACCGGAGCTACTTCTCTAAGTTTATGTCTATCGCGATTCACGCAGGTATGTGTTACTCCGCAGCAGTGACGACCCGACCAGCCTACAATAGTCCAAATATAAGTACTTATTATAAGTGTAACGTAGTGATTCGGAATAAGACAAAAACCCGGTTTGGAAGATGAATTCATGATGTACTCGCTCATTATATACATTTTGCAAATTTTGAAAACAGAAAAAGTTACATAGTGCTGCTTTAAGTATTGGTCAAACCAATTATTATTCAGTAGCCTACTTCAGTACACTATATGTCTATGTACTATGCTACTACTATCTGGTGCTATGTAACTATACTATGGTAGCAACACAGTACTGTTTGTAAGGGTTATGAATACAATATCGTGTATCATTAATACAATTTGTGTGTGTGTGTGTGTACCGCTGAATTCTTTCTCCAAATACGTGAGAAACTCTTTTCTTCCCATTGGGTCGTTGAGCAGCTCCATGAAGCTAAAGCTCCAGTGCTCCACACGCAGTTTAGTCGGCAAAGCAACTCTGTTTCAGGAAAACGTAGATATGCAGAGCAATTACTGACCCTCAGACAGAACATTAGTGTACTTCATGGCTATTCATGTGTGATCATGTGACTCACGTTTCAGAGTTCATGTTCCAAAACATGATATCATCTGTGATCCAGGGGTTGCTGGGAAGACATCCTTGCATTATGGGGTCATGGGGCTGGTACTGCTCACAGTACTTAACGTAACTGCGCGCACACACACACACACACAGAGAGAGAGAGAGAGACATGTAAGGCCATCACAAAGGGTTATGGTGAGAGTTCTTTTTAAAAGATACTTTTAGGACAGTCCATTAGCTCTAGCCTGGAGTCTTAGACTTCGGCAGAGTACACACACACACACACACAGGTTTGTTTATATGGTTTGTGGGGACTCTCCATAGGCGTAATGGTTTTTATACTGTACAAACCATATTTTCTATTGCCCTACACCAACCCCTAAACCTACCCCTCACAGGAAACTTTGTGCATTTTTAGATTTTCAAAAAAACTCATTCTGAATTATTTATAAGCCTTTTGAATTACGGGGACACTGAAAATGTCCTCATAAATCACCTACTCGTTGTAATACCTATGTCATACCCATGTTATTATACAAATTTGTGTCCTCATAAACCGCATAAACATGCACACACACACACACACAGAGTACCTCTCAAGGCAAATGGAGGACTTTATACGATTCCTCGCCAGGCTTATCCTGTTATGTTCAATCTAAGTCGTTTACCATAAAAACACAAAAACAAGCATGACAAGAAGTAAATCTGGTTATATTTCATAGTACAGTATGTGCTGCATAAGTAAAGAATGATGTATAGACAGCTAACTACATTTTTTGCAAAGAAATATTATCATTACAGATATTAGAATAATTTAGTTTCAATGCTTTTCTCTGATTGTTTTGGTAAAAATATATATATATTTTTTTAAATGTCTCTTTTAGTCACCAAGGCTACATTTATTTGATCAAAATAATCCACTAAAAACAGTGAAATATGGTCACAATAGAAAATAACTTTTCTATTTGAATATATCTTAGAATGTATTTTATTCATTTGAATTTTCAGCAGTCATATGCATGTATATATATATATATATATATATACACTAAATATATACACTGTATATATACACATACATACATATATATATATATATATACACACATGCATCCACTTCAAATGTGTGTATATATATATACATACATACATACATACATATATATACAGTGGGTACGGAAAGTATTCAGACCCCTTTAAATTTTATATATATATATATATATATATATATATATATATATATATATATATATATATGTTGTCTCTGTTGTCAGAGTCCTTGTGCAAATCTCACTGGATTATTACAATTAATGGAAAAATTAATGTTTAGAAATGTAAACTGATATTTCCTAATGACACACTACAACAAAAGATAGAAATAACTGACTTAAAACCATTTTTTAGCTGCTGAAAATACTAATAACTAATAACTTCTAATAATTTTGGCCACCACTGTATGGTTTTAAGACAGTTAAACCTGCCATTCAAATGACTCACCTCTTTTTTGTAGAATTCTGCATTCTTTTCTGAAATTGACAATGACAAAATATCATCAAAATATATTAGCTTTTTTTTTTTAAAGTTGCTATTAAAACTAAACTAAATCACTGAACTTTGCAATGGAATGAAATGACAGCAGGAAATGAGGCAGTGTTTTAGAGATTACTTACTTGAACAAGGATGCATGATAAAAAACAGAAATAAAGAGAAAAAAGCTATAGATGATGCTTGAACGTGAGAGATTCTGCTGTGAATGTTTGTTCATATATTTTTGAAACGTGCTGTGTCTGTGTGTATGTGGATTATGTGTTGTTGTGCATGGGGTTAGTTGTGTTGTGGTGGTCTGTTTACTGACCAGCTGCACTCGTGTGTTCATGGTTCTTCTTTCCGGTCCATGATCTATACTGTCCAGTGTACCGGGCTGAAAATGTGGTTATAAAGAGATATATGAATCGATGACAAAATAAGATGTTTATGATCAAACGCATGCGTCAAGCCCTTAGAAATGTGATCTCTGTATTCATGTTGGTATCTTTTGAATTGTATACCATTTCACGAAAGCTTTTACTTTTAATATCAATTGCTGTAACATAAATAAATAATAATAATAAAATCTTTTTAAAACCTGGAGTAGCATAAACATCTTAATCTTTATTTTCAAATATATTTTTTCATAACAGTATTTTTTTATATCAGTATATTTCTTAATTATAAATATAAAATTTTCATGATGGTCTTTTTTAAGGTTATGTTTTCATAAAAAATGTAAACTAACCCTGCCACTTGCTGGGCTTTAAAGAGGTCCTCCTTTCTGTGATATCACGTCCTGTTTTATAGCATCATCACATAACAATAAAATGACTTCCTATACCACTGTAAAAAATGACTTTTTGAAGTTTTAAAGATTATTGGAATACGTTTTATAAGACAACACTATTTCAGTCTTTCTACTTCAAAATTCCATGTTTAAATCAATGTGCTACTTGTCATTTTTGTGTAAATATTTGTGAAAATTAATAGCAATTTCTGACTAAAAATAGTTTCAAAACCCTACAATCTGAGAACAAATACACCACCTTAACATTTTGATTTTCTCCCCAAAAGAAATTATTCAAATATATTTTTACTCGTAATTCATAAAATTCAAAACATGTTCATCATAGAAGATATGTACGGCATTGTCCATAGAATTCATTATAAATATATTTTACAAATATTGTGAGCCTTGTTTTTACAGGCTTTCAAACTAACCCAAATCCCAGTAATGTCTGGCAGGTGGATTTACAACATTTTCACAGAAGCAGAACACCACACACACACACACACACACACACACACACACACACAGTGACAATATAGGAATGAAATGGTCTCTAAATCCACCCCAGATTAAATCATCAGCTGGATTCCTCATTAAAATTGCCTTTTGCAGGAGTGCAGGAGTGACATAACAAACACACACACACACACACACACTGCATACTAGTGGTCAGTCTCACACACACACACAGCCACACATACACTAAAACACACATAGTCACTTAGTAATAGAATATCCTCTTAAGCGCTCAGCCAAAAGATGGAACCATTAGATATACCAGCACACACACACAAACACACACACACACACACACACAGAGTCCTTCCGGTTCACTATACTATTATTTTATCCATCAAGACACTTAAGCTCATGTTAAGCAATCCATATATATCCTTTGCACTCATGTGTGAGTGTGCTTTAAAGGCACCAATGTGTTCCACTCTATTTCTCCTTTTCTTCTGCCAGAATCTGCCCTCCCTTTCTCCTGTTCTCCTCTCGCTCTGTCCCCTTCCCCCTTTTTCCTCTGCTTTACGATGCTTTTAACTGACTGGCTGAATATTTCATAAGCAGAAGCTGGACACAGATATGAAGGCACGTGCCACATGGGCACAGATGCTGTGGCTGCTTAAGCATCATACACTGACTAATGCATTTGACATGCTTTGATTTTCTATATCACATTTCTGAAAGGTGATACACAGTATGTTACTTTTCTATTTATTTAATTCATGAACAGACAAAGACGGCAACACTGATGGTACTCCAATATACTTCAAAGAATACCATGGTGTAAGTATTGCCATGGCATTTTTTTGTTAGCGTTGTGGGTTTATAGTGCTCGAGACTTACAGGAGGTCTGTTCACTAGCCAGTAGGCTTGTTCCTGACACTCCAGCACGATACGATCGGCTTTTCGACGCTGTTTTGATGCCCTTAAACACGAGAAAATGAACATAATAAGGCCAATGCACAGGCACTCTAGACAACAACCATCAGAAAAATATTTTATATTGATTTTTTTCAACCATCAAAAAATATGATTAATATTTAGTAGTGCATAAAACTTGAGTTTAAAACATTTAGAGCTATATAGATTATTTGTATGCTATGAAGAATTGCTTAAATTGTAAAGGAGTATAGTGCAACAGTGGATGCAGCCACTACAGAGAATTTTGCGGTTTTCATGCCATTTTTGTTGTTGTATTATAAATTATATTTTCCATTTTCTTCTTAATTTAAAGTCTTTTTTCTTTTGGTTTTTGTCATTTAATTAGCTTATGTTTTTAATATGTGTATAGAGTTTGTATTAATTGTATTTCTGTTTTATTTTTTTAGTACATAAAGGTAAAGTGAAAATGTGTGAAAATTATGCATGGGCAACTAACTGAAATAAAATACATTTCAGTTTTTTATATTTTATTTTGTTTCAGTTAACTTTTATTTTAGCATTTAGTAGTGGTTTATTTTCAGTTAACTATAATACAAATTAATAAAAGTAAAGCTCGGGGCCAATTTGTTAAGATTCTTTAAGATTTTAAGTGGCTAAAGTAAAAAAAACAAAATCACTATGCTAATGTTGAGTCAATTGTAAAAACAAAAAACAATGTGTATTTGCTTTTTGTTGTTTAAACCAGTTTTAGTATTCTAACATCAATGAAAATGTATTAACACTTTTAACTACAAATATTTAAATATTTAGAAAAAAATATTTTTATTTTCATGGTTGTACCTATTGGTGGTATTTTCAGCATTTACTTGATTTAAAACGATTTACAAATGTTTTATATGATTTATAATTATTCAAAAATTAAATTTAGATTTTAGTGATTTTGTCCTTTTTTTTTTTTGCCAGAAAATGCTTTTCTGATCATTTTTATATGCTACTTTTATAATGTAGGCAATAGAGGGCTAAATGTAATAGGCCGAAGGGAGCATTAAGTGTGTGTGTGTGCACGTTTAGTAATGGAAAAGGATAGTTACCTGAGCTGCTCTCTTGCCTGCATCACAACAAAGTCCCAGGTGTGGTTGATACGTTTATGTAAAGCATTATAGCACTCCTAACAAAGTCAGAGATTGAGAAATGAACAACAGATGGCTTCATGGCTTCGTGTCTACATTGTACAGTCTTGTTTCTCTATGGTGTGGCTGGCATTTGACCTACATACCTTTTCATACTCAATTAGTTCTCCTTGTTTTCGGATATTCTTCTTGGCCAAGTAGATTGCTAAAACACATATAAGTAAATCCATGTATAATATATTTACCCTCTGAACCTGCAGCGAAATATCTCCTTTTGTATTGAAGCAAATGCATTTTGGTTTGGCACAACATTTGGTAAATCCTTTTTTGTTTTGAACCATGGGCAGTTAGATCTCACCATAGTCCAGTTCTGAAGTAGGCCAGCGTGTCGACATCCAGTAATACGGCGTCTGATAAAGACAGAGATTAATTCAGATGTGCTGATTTTGAAAATGGGAATTTAGAAACTGCTGATATGGCATGGGACTTTATGTAAATATCGTGTGTGCATATATAAATACCTGAAAGCGATATGGTGAATCGTCAGCTTTCAGAATAAGGTTTCTTGGCTCTTTTAAAGGGTAAATGTATCCATACTTTACAAAGAGTTGTCCAACGTGCAATGCCTCTAAATAAAGATGAGAAAAAAAGATTAAAAAAGATCAAATAAATAAAGATGAAAAAGCAATATTCATACGCATAATATACACCCACACAAGTACAAAAAAATAGATACAAATATCAACAATTATAAATCAAGTAAATAATTCTAAAAATAAAACCAAGGGTTTACATAAAAATTGGTTTAGAATTGCTCTTGAAAATAATTTTGACTCAGAATTTGCTAGTAAATTTATTTACAAATAATTACAAAAAGATTGGCAAGTAACACATTGAGTTCAACATGAAATTTGGATTTAGAAAGACTTGAATAGCATTTTCATACATCATGGAACATACATCAAATAATCTTTGTTTTATTTATGTTATGTTGAGCACAAAAGAAGATATTTTGAAGAATGTTGGCAACCAAACAGTTGAAGGTAGCCATTGACTTCCATAGTATTTTTTCCCATACTATGGAAGTCAATGGGTACTGTCAACAGTTTGGTTACCAACATTCTTTAAAATATCTTCTGTTGTGTTTAGCAAAAGAAAGAACCTCATACGGGTTTGGAAGGACATGAGGGTGAGTAAATAATGAATTTTCATTTTTTCATTTCCCTTTAACTAAAATAGTAGTAAATGATTTGAGAATACATACATTTCATCTAGTGGTTGCCTACACAAGGTGTTCCCTCATTGCAGTGCACAGATCTGTCAAACTCTCTGGAGTCTTGTTTATTCCAGCCACAGCTGTGTGCAGCATTACTTGTTTATTAGGGCTTTTCTGAACCATGCAGGCTGTTCTCTGAGAGTGTGACATTTGTGCATTTATTATTAAAGATCCTGCACACAACTCATCTTACATTACATAAAATCGGACTTTAATTTAAAGCAACTTTCATATGCAATTTAGCTCCCCATGGTCGTGTGTGCGTGTGTGTATGTTTTGAAGTCCCTCAGGATGGCACATGGAGAATAATGTTATCTCTGGAGAACACTTTCTATAAACCACACACAGATGACTGGAAAACTCCAAGAAATACACCACAGCAGATAGCATGGAAATTATTACACACACAGGCTCTGACATGCACACAGTAAGTCTGAAATCACGTTGGAGCTACAAGGCAGTTTATGAGTACTTTTTAAAATTCATTTTAAATGTATTACTTTTATGCACACAGTAAAATAATGGCTTGTTACATTTTCTGAAGTAAATATGAATTGTGCTTGTCCATGCAAAAGTTGCTGACACTTTAGTTTAATAAAGAGAACAACTTCTTTGTTCTTTTACTATAAATAGCAATTGTCATCATTGTTGCAATCAAGTGCAATTCCAATGTTATGTATCAAAGACAAAGAATCAAAATATATTTATAGGTTATATTAATGTCCTACCTTCATCAGAGATAGAAAACTTCTTGATCAGCCATTCAACAATGTCTACACCTGTATGAAATCAAAGAATATTACTGTCAACATAAGCACAGTGTCAGACAAAAGAATGTATCTTCGGCAGTGAATGGGTGCCGTAGAATGAGAGTTCAAACAGCATCACTACTGGCCAAAATATGAGTCCATAATCTATATTTATGCTTCCTCCAGTGAAAAAGTCTATCTCCTGTTGTCCTCTCACATCAAAATTCACCAATATATTTGTGTTTAAACTGTTTTGGACTGTTTTTGCTTGTAAGCAGTGCCTGATCTGTGCATATTTCTCTCCAGTTTCAGACGAGACAACTTATTTTACCTGGAAGCAATGATCTGAAGTTAAAATGTCTTAATGGTGAATTTATCACAAACACACAGGTTTTTGCTGCACAAGATGTTCATTGATGGACTGGAGTTGAGTGGATTAGTTATGGATTATTGTGGTGTTTTTATCAGCTGTTTGGACTCTCATTCTGACGGCACCCATTCACTGCAGATGATCCATGGTGAGCAAGTGAAGTAATGCGAAATTTCTCCAAATTTGTTTTGATGAAGAAACAAACTCATCTACATTTTTGATGGCCTGAGCGTGTGTACATTTTCAGCAAATTTTCATTTTTGGGTGAACTATTACTTTAAGTGACTTTGACTTGTATTTATCTTTAATTTCCTGAAGAAAGTAATTTATAAAGTAATAGCCCGGTGTCCTCTGAGAGACAAGTGCAGGCGCAAAACATGCACTGTTAGACTAATTAATAGCAAGAAAAATGAGCACAGAGACTGAAAGCACACACAGGAGTCTAATTTCACTGCGCAAGCTTCTATTGATTTACTGTCCTCATACGCACTCAAGACTTTCCGAGATACGCATGGATACTTTACTGTTAAATGCAGACTATTTCCACAATAATAGTGGGAAACTATTCTAGTCGTGCCTCAGCTGTCACTCTAATCGTGCCATAACATGTCAGAGGCTGGAAAATGCGAGGAACAGTCGTGTCCATTTGGGATTATCAAGAGAGAGTGAGTGAAGCTTGAAGTTCGCTGCAGTCATAGAGAGAAAGAGAGAGAGAGACACTCACCAGTCATTGCATGTGGTATGACCGTAATAAGGAGACGCTGGTTGCGCAACTTGATGCCCATATCAGGGTCCTGCATGGATATGATCATGCGCTCCATCTGTATGTGGGCATATGTGAAATATTAGTACTTTTAGATATTCATTTATCACAACTATTTTGTGAACTGCACAGAAGCTAAAATGTGATTCAAATTGTGAATAGCATAAAGACAAATAATATAAAAAGATACAAGTTCCTCTATAAACAAATAAAAACTTTAATCTTGAATTTAAAAAAAAGACTGTTATTTGCCAACTATTCAGGCTATTCACAATAAAGTGATTAAAAAAGAGAAGAGGATGCACCCCTAAATAAATATTGCCTTTATTAAGTTCAAAATTATAACAATTCATACATTCTCATTATATAAAATTTGATAATTTAATAAGGTGATTTAATGTTACAAAACAGCAAAAGCATCAATACAAAAAAGCATAACAGAAAGAGTGGGATGATTTGTTAGATTATTTATTTTTTAAGAACTCCAGTTATATAAATCAGTTATATAAGTAGCCTAAGAAAATGCAAACACAACTAAGCAAATTCAGAACCTTTACAGTACAGAAACTTTAGTTTCGTCTTTAAAACATTTTCAATAATGCGAGGAGAAGTTCCTATACTGTGTCTTACAGGCAACAACTGCAGGATTATTCAACTCTGGCTGGTTTGCAAAAACGACAGTATCTGTTCTACAGCAGATTTATGATTGTTAGAGCTAAATGAAAATCGATTTTAGGGACTTACCTTAGTCAAACAGGGCATTTGCTGTCGCTGCACTCCATCCTGACTGAGTGTGTTGATGGTCATGTTGACAGCTGCTCGTGTGAGCTGGATGTGAAGTTAAAGAGAGCTGGATGATGCTCGCCTCACACTGATGCTGCTGGAGAGGCTGCTGTCCCGTCAGAGAGACGATGGGGTGGCGCTATATCCGACTACAAAATACTCATAATTAGGTATAAAATAGCGCCTCCCAGTGTTGAATGATTCGAATCGATAATTGTAGACCTTGGCATCAGTGTTGGGGGTAACGCATTACAAGTAACGCGAGTTACGTAATCAGATTACTTTTTTCAAGTAACTAGTAAAGTAACGCATTACTTTATAATTAATCTGCAATAATAAAATGTTAAACAACACAAATATCCTTTATGTATTTAATCCCATTCTATTAACCAATGTCTTTACTTCTGACCTTCGATGATCCAGTTCAACCGTACTAATAAGCAGAAATTACTCTAGACAAACATTTGTGTGTTTTTTTTATTGCTGAAGTGTGTTGAAATGTCTTCTTCTGCATTCTACTGTACGGATGTACATTTACTTTCCCTTCAGCCTGAGGCGCATTCATTTCACTTTTGGTGTGAAAAGGCTTTTATATATTTGCCAAAAATATAACTTTTGTATTTTAAAAACAAACAAGCAAGCCCTGTCCAGAATTAAAAAGTAACGCAAAAGTAACGTAACGCATTACTTTCCATAAAAAGTAACTAAGTAGCGTAATTAGTTACTTTTTTATGGAGTAACGCAATATTGTAATGCATCACTTTTAAAAGTAACTTTCCCCAACACTGCTTGGCATAATATACACTAGCCAACATTTGAAGTGGATCAATAATTATATTATATTTATATTATAAATTCAAATTAAAGGTGCTCATTGGGCTTATTAGACTTACTAGAAAGTGCTTACAAGGTTATTAGACCTGCTTGAAGTAAAATAAACATTATCTTAAATATATAGATTTATATTATATAATTATAATATAATTGTATTATATAATTTATATTTAAATATATATATATATATATATATATATATATACAGGGCCGTTTCTAGCCAATTTGACACCCTAGGGCCTAGGCGAAATCCCTATTTATTCCCTATCCCGATTTTTTTTGTTGTTGCTTCTTGAAACATTGATTTAAAGTGTCAGTTATTGCATTAGTCTTTCAGTCAAACCTATAAAACCCCTTTGTTACTCCAAACTACACTTAAAAGCTTTATCAGTGGCATAAAAGTAACCAATGCAGCTACTTAATCATGTGCTACTCGTTAACGTGTTAACGTCCCTTTAAATAACGTGACGCTCTGCCCTCTATGACGCTGCTCCCACTAAGTGCTGTTGGATGTGAATGCATTGATTCAGCATTTCGACACCTCCGTAACGATGCATTTAACTTGACAAAGCGGTCTAATAAAGGATGTATTGATCTCGTGAATTAGCGAATTTTACTATACAAATATTTTTTAATTGGAAGTTAAAGTTTATTTGGGAATATTACATGACACGCTGATCCTTTAACAATGCATTGGCGCAAAAAACGCACACCTTTTGGATAAATGTGCCACAAAAGTGCCACAAATACTGCCTAAACAAAATACTGATTTTGTGCACTTTATTCACTGTACCAATATTTTCAATTGGCCTTTGAACTTATCTTTATTGCGTGGCAAAACAAAGTGTTACCTTGCCAAAGCACTGACAGAGCCCACTGATCTAACGGCGTTGTTGAGCACTCCAAATGCAAACTTAGCATGCAACAATCAGGTAGCAATTGACAGCACTCTGATCTAGTGGCATACAGGCATCGTCAGATTGACAGTAATTGATTGCAGTCTTCATACATCAAAACTTTACTAGAGAGACTGGTTATCCAGTCGAGAGAAACCGTAGTTTGCGTCTGATCTGGCCATACAGCGGTGGGATGTGTTGGCAATCCCTTCAGTCTGTACTTCACACAGTGCGACTTGTGAGTCAGGGCTCGCGCTCTTCAGAGACGATCACAGAATATGACAGAGCTCGTGTTTAAAAGCCAAACACACTGGAATGAATAATTCACTGAAAACCCAACGCGAGGCTCTGTTCTTTCTGCAATCTCTGATATAATCAGCCTGGTTTCCTTTATATTAGAGCTGTTTTGGACGGATTGTTTGAATGCATTCGCTTACTGGATCATTGGACTGAAAACTTTCCAGAGTTTAGCGGCTTAAAATTATCTGCTGGCAAGCAGAGAAGCAAAATTGGGTTAAAGGGTTAGAATAGAAATCGTGCTTCAGTCATTTTGCGTTAATGATGGCAGCCCTAATACCATATATAAACGTGTACTGTGTTAGGCTAACCGAGACTTGTCATTTGCACTTAGGCCTACATATTGTTGCTCTTTTGTTGGTTTTGATTGCTTCTATTGTCCTCATTTGTAAGTCGCTTTGGATAAAAGCTTCTACTAAATGTAATGTAAATCAAATTAAATACATAAGAACTTTTGTATTTTTTTCAGCTATTGAAATAAAAATACAATATATATTTCTCATTTTCATTTAGTTTAACTTGATGCACTAAAATAACCAAAACTAATAACGATATAGTCGTTTAAAAAAACTAGCCTAATAAAAATACCAAAAAAATTATTAATTAAAACACATTTTAACAATTTATTTAAATCCACTTAAAAGAAATAATCTACAGGGACATAACTATTACAGATGCAGTTAAACACACACACGTTGGTTTTTATGGTTAATGGGGACTCTCCATAGGCGTAATGATGTTTATACTGTACAAACTGTATTTAAACCTAAACCTACTCCTTACAGAAAACGTTGTGCATTTTTAGATTTTCAAAAATAAAAATCATTCTGTATGATCATGCCCGTACCCATAGCCAGCTATGAATTATTTTTCCGAGTCGACTTTGTGAGGTAATTTCCTAATATAGTATTAACTCTACCTTCGTGCTGCAAAGATATTGCACAGCACCAAGATTAAAAGGGTGATTGATTGCTATTTCACTTTTTTAACGTTAGTTAGTGTGTAATGTTGCTGTTTGAGCATAAACAATATCTGCAAAGTACTAAGCTGAAAGTTCAATGCAAACGGAGATGCCCTCTTTTAAAATTCTGGCAGTTTAATGCCTACAAAAACGGCTGGTAGGGACTACAATGAGTTACTTCCCGGGTTCGTGACATCACAAACCCAGATAAACCCCGCCCTCTGGAAAAGGCAGCAAAGGGGGCTAGGCCATGCTGCTTTAGAGAAGAGGAAGAGAAAACTAGGGGTGCACGTAAAAATCTGTTCATATATGAATCGCGATTCTGTCTTCTAACGATTCTAATGGATTCACAGGTTTCAAAAGCAATGTTCTAAAGCAGCGGTTCTTAATACTGTTCCTCGCATCACCTGCTTGGCCTCTCTCTCTCATTCAGATCATCAGCTCAGTTCTGTTCCATTTATACACGCAGTAGAGGCGGTTTAGCCAATCACAACACACTGGGCTAGCTAACCAATCAGAGCACATCGCCTATTTCTGAGGGCGGGGCTTCATAAAAACAGGAAAAGATCAGCCCATTTCTCAGAGAAGGGACAGAGCGGTGTGGAATAAAGGTAAATTATGCGAAAAATAATGAGTTTTTAAAAAAAACGAAGCATTAACACATGTTAGACTGCACCCCATAAACACAATCAAGCCTAGAAAAAAGCCAGTGAACCACCCCTTTAAATTTAAATCTCCTCATCTGAACTGCCTCAACAGTCACCGCTCGTCAACGAATATTTGAGATGACCAATCAAATCAAAGTAGGCGGGCTTTGTTCACAGAAGCCGCGAAATTCAACGCGACGCTTCAGTTAGCGGCTAGTGCGGGATAAGATGTAAGTAGCCAAACATTTCATATCTGAAAGCTGTTTTACCATAGAAATGCTAAACGACTGACAAATATAAACTAATAAACTTGTCTAATTTCGCCATTTTGAATGGACGTGATTCATGTAATGTTTCGTAACTGTCAATGTGAGGGGACAAGAAAATATTAACGAAGCCGTTTTCATCATATATTAGGCATATAACGTTAATTAATAATGAATTTGGGACCTCGGTAATTTTAAAACTCTGGCTACTGCCCTGTGCATGATTTATAAACCGTTTGAATTACCTACGGGGACAAAAGGGTCCTCATAAACCACCTTCATGTTGTAATACATAAGTTACCCATGACATACAAATGTGTGTCCTCATAAACCACACACACACAAAACAAAATGACAAAAGTTTAGCTAAAATGAAACTGAACATAGAAAATATAAAAATAAATTCTAAATATTAGTACAAACTATAATAGTAATACAAAATTAACTGCGTCAGGAGGTACGTTAACTAAATATTATGTGAGTTCGATTTTTAGTGCAGTCTCAAATATATCATGGCTTTAAAATGGAGGTTGTGTGGACTCAAGAATCACAATTAAAATGTCTGAATGTCGTTGAATTAGATAAATAAAAAATGCACAAGCAAGAATCATTTGTTCTGAAAACGCTTATTAGTCCAGTTTGAATGCACTGTACGGCACAGTATCTCCAGTACGCAGGAGGCGCTGATCAGCCGCGCTTTTCTTCACGTCTACATTGTCCTTTACGGGATTCCGTAGGTATTTTCTGATGAACAACTTTGTCAATTATGGGCGATATACATTTGCAGATTGAGAGAAGCTAGTGTAACGAGTCTAATTATCAACTCAGGTAAGGGTGTTGTAAGTATAAATATGTATGTATTGTGAACCGTGGAAACATTTAACATTTAAAGAAACTGCATCGCTTCAGACAATGTGTGTCACCATAGCGAATAATCGCTTTTTGTTGCTTATTTGTGTGTACTGATTGATATCTTTCGATTAACCCACTTATAATTCGATAAGTAGTATTTTAATACAATCCAGTTAGTTATTTTCACTATTTTGGATATGACACGCCTTATTGCAAAATATTGCGGTATCAGTACAGAGATAGCACAATATGGTACAGTGAGACCACGGGATACACACTAGGAAAGAAAAATATACCATGGTTTACTCTAGTATTATCTCAAAAACATGGTAAATGTTCA